GTTGTACCCTCACTTTCAAGTGGAAACTGGCTTATGTTTTGGTTTGGGGAAAAAGTCTGAGACTAAAAGCACTGCAACTGGCACAGTTTTCACGGTAGGAATTTGAAATTTGCAACATTACGACTTCAGATGGGTCCGGACCTGCAGTGCAAATTCCAGCTTTCCATCTCTGATAGTTTCCGAACGGCAGCCTGTCAAATATTTGGTCTTCACCTGGACCGCTGCCACTAGATTGTATAGAGACTGTATAGGCTGCCTGCCGACCCCCACCCCCGCGCTAAAATGGCCATAACTCAGCCAATTTTGACCCTAGAGGTATGATTTTTGTTGCAAACGGTAGTTTAACATGTCTTCTATCTCTTTCAGGCGAAAACACAAATTCGCATTTTTTGAAAACTTTGGAGAAAATCGATTTTGAAGTTGTACCCTCACTTTCAAGTGGAAACTGGCTTATGTTTTGGTTTGGGGAAAAGTCTGAGACCAAAAGCACTGCAACTGGCACAGTTTTCACGGTAGGAACTTGAAATTTGCAACATTACAACTTCAGATGGGTCCGGACCTGCAGTGCCAATTTCAGCTTTTCATCTCTGATGGTTTTCGAACGGCAGCCTGTCAAAGATTTGGTCTTCATCTGGACCGCTGCCACTAGATTGTATAGAGACTGTATAGGCTGTCTGCCGACCCCCACCCCCGCGCTAAAATAGTCATAACTCAGCCAATTTTGACCCTAGAGGTATGATTTTTGTTGCAAACGATAGTTTAACATGTCTTCTATCTCTTTCAGGCGAAAACACAAATTCGCATTTTTTGAAAACTTTGGAGAAAATCGATTTTGAAGTTGTACCCTCACTTTCAAGTGGAAACTGGCTTATGTTTTGGTTTGGGGAAAAGTCTGAGACCAAAAGCACTGCAACTGGCACAGTTTTCACGGTAGGAACTTGAAATTTGCAACATTACAACTTCAGATGGGTCCGGACCTGCAGTGCCAATTTCAGCTTTTCATCTCTGATGGTTTTCGAACGGCAGCCTGTCAAAGATTTGGTCTTCATCTGGACCGCTGCCACTAGATTGTATAGAGACTGTATAGGCTGTCTGCCGACCCCCACCCCCGCGCTAAAATGGTCATAACTCAGCCAATTTTGACCCTAGAGGTATGATTTTTGTTGCAAACGATAG